GTTTAATTGTCAATTTTTTGTGACTGTGCTTTCCATTTTTATTAAAATAAAAGTAGCCTGCCATGACCTAAGCATGTACAAAAACTGGCGTGAATTGTCATTAACACCGAATGACTCAACTGTTTGTACAAACAAACAATGCAGCAGTCAGTAGCAGTTATTTTATGAAATAAAATATTATTGCAGCAGTTGGATCTTGTAAACAAAACAGGTTATACTCACAGTGGAACATCTGTGTTTCTATAGTATGACCTAGGCAGTTTTAACTTTCTCCATTTGGTGGCCGTGCCGACTGGTGGTCAGATTCTCTGTAGTGGACCAGCTGAAGTGGGTATGCCCCTGACCACTGGAGACAGTAGTGAGCAAACTGATGCTTGGCACAACACAAAGGTGAGATTTGTGCCTTACTGGAGGTGTTTTTCAAGCATCATGGTCTACTTTTTCAAGAGAAGAGACTTAAAGGGTGGTTACTAAGTGGTTGGTTTTGCATTTGTGTGTCAGGTTTGTTTGCCCACCTCTGTTAAAGTGGTGCACACAGACATTCCCTGACAGTTTCTGCCAGATGTAGCCAGTATCTCAGTTCTAAACAGGGCTAGTGTTAACTTTGTACAGCAGTATTTGCAAATTGTTCAGTTGTCAGTTTCCTTTCCACCCATGTAATTTCTTGAAAAGGGAAAACTGAAATGCTACCATAATAGAGCTCTAAAAGTCAACGATGGAGCATCTATGCACTATGCCACTATGCCAGTTTCAAATTCTGCGGCATAACCCAGTAGATACAGTCATAATCCCGTGATATTACTGAAAAATGTTTCTATCGCAAAATCACAAAATTACATATACTCTATCATTACATCCCTAATAAAATCTGATTGCTAGTTTCAAATCTTATTCTTCATTGTTGGTATACTTTGGTATAAACTGCATACTGTATTCAGACTTGGACTTGAATACTTGACTTATACATCCAATCTTGGAAATGTGTACATACAGTACAGTATGCATGGGCACTGTATAACTTCTGCATTCATTCAAGCTGTTTGCTTGAGTTGTCTAGCAGAATATAAAGGAAATAACACTGCTTGCTTCATTCTGAAATGCCACAGTTTTAGACAGGTTCCATTAAAATATTTAGAGATTTAACCTCAGAGTGCAGGCTTTTTGTCAGCTTTGTGTGTACATCTTGTTAGACTGTCTCTTCTGACTCATACCGAGTCTCCCATTCAGCCCCACTGGTGTTATACCAAACTCTGCTCTCACTGGCACAGAGCATTTCTCTCCATCTCTGACTGACAATATGAAAGTCAGAAATACAGGAAAAGACAAACAAGACTCAAAGATAGTTTGGGTGATAAATGTGTTTCAAATTAAAATATACAATTTTTTGATACAGTGTGTGTCTGATGTAATTTAGCCTAAACTGAAATCATCTATTCAACTATTATTACACCCATAAATCTCTTCACAGTACTAAATATTATTAACTCTGACAAGGAGGTTATGTTTATACTGCCGTTTGTTGGTTTATTATCAATGGATTTAGATGAAATGATTGAGAAGTAGGGTAGGAGCCACAGAATAATCTGATACATTTCAGTGGTGATTTGGATCATCATCCCGGATCCATGAAGATTTTTAAATGGCATTTATGGGGAAACTGATCTGCCTTGATGGAGGTCTGCTTGTTTTCTTTTCCAGATATTCTTCATCAAACAGCTTTAAGTGTCACTTAATCCTCAGATTGTCAGAGGAAGACTAGAGTAATTCTATCTAGTTGTTCTATGTATTTTCACCAAGAGCCCGGGGTCTGTCGGAGGTTTCTTCTGTTAAAGGGAGTTTTTCCTCCCCACTGTCACCAAGTGCTTGCTCAAGGGGGATTTGTTGGGTTTTCCCTCTGTAATAATAGTGATAACAATAAGGTCTAGACCTTACTTTGTAAAGTGTCCTGAGATGACTTTTGTTATGATTTGGTGCTATACAAATAAAATTTGATTTGATTTGATTCAATTTGTATTTTTAAATACTACAAATAATACTACAATAATAATACTATAAATAATGTACCTTTTAAGCAAAGTCAACAGTGACAAGAGAAGCTTTAATGAATAGTACACCTCCTAGAAAGAGGAAGGATCTTAGAAATGAGGGAATCACTCTCCAACCGCTAATCCTCCAGTTAGGAAACGACCTGCTCTACCTCCTCAGCCACAGCCGCCCCCATCAAATCAAAGGGGGAAGGGGAAAGGAGATGAAAAGATTAAAGAAATATAACCCTTTTTTGTAGAAATAAACAAGATTTAAACAAAAAAGGGTTACTGTTCCCAGAGATGATGTACTGAATACACCTGCAGCAAATTACACAAATGCATGCTGTCTCACAGATTCCTTCATGACTTACAGACACACGACCACAGCACACTTTATAGGTCATTTCCCTTCTGGCTCATATATTATCACTGGTTTGGGAAGGTTGCTCACTAAATATTTGATGGACACCCCTAGCTGCAATGAGATTAATAGATTAACTGTGCCAATAAGGAGGGGGCTCTGTGTGCATGCTTATGTGTGTGTGTGCACCCAAATTCATGAGAGCCACACAAGCCTAAAGGTTGATTAAAAATGCATAAAATATTACATTATAATGACACATAGCTCAAATGGAGTGATAAGGTCACACAAACAAAATGAGAATGGGAAAAAGGGATCTTAATGTCAAGAGCGATAAACAACTGAGGAAACGGAAAAACAAAAGAGCTACAAAACCAGCTGATTGTTAAATTTGACTTTTCATCATATTTCCATATTATATAAAGGACCATTTATCCTACTGTACCTTTAAGACATAATGAAACTCATAGAATTTTTAAACAAATACATGTCTGTGGTCCTTTGTTGAAAGATGATTTAGTATTCATTGTGCGGTAGTAAAAAATCCTAAGAAAGTCCACTGGTTCACAAAATGTGATGCATTTTCCATTTAGGTTTGGTTGTTCAGAATCAATACAGCAGAAGAAATGTGTGGTCAGCATGAAGAACCAGACAGAAAATCCAATGGAAAAGAAGTCACCTCAGTGAACACACTGTAGTCTTTCCCTTTCAGACATTAAGCTGTCCTGTGTTGTTTCTCCCGAATGACTAGGAACACTGAAAATTTGCAGTTTTTTTTTTTAAGACAATCTACATTTAACTTGCCTCTGCTGCAAGAAAAAACATAATATGATGCTTAATGTATAAGTGATCCTAGAAAAGAGCAAAAACACTACTGAGATGATTGCTTTGTATGAAAACGGAAACAAGGGGAAAAAAAATCTTGCAGATCAGGCAGATGTCATTTTGTAAATAAAAACTGACTATCTTCCCCTTTACTCTCAGAAATTTCCCCACTGTGGGATCAATAGAGTACCTACTCTACTCTACAAATAAATGGCTGAATTCATATGCAATAAAATGCCCCCTTGCTGAATTCAGGAAACTTGGGAGTTTGGCTGCAGTGGCCTTAAAACCCGGTCTCACTAACATTATGAAATACTGCAGATTAAAATACTTCACTGTAATAGGGGATAGCTGCAATAGGTGAATCCCTTAACCATAAACAAACTTTATTGCTAAGTACTTAAAAAATGCAAGGAATTTGACTCCAGCTCAAGGTGGATTTACTTACCCAAATGCATTGAGTGAGTTAGTTTTTCTGACCCCAAAGCACAAATAACTTATTTGATATCAAGCTTAAAAAAGGTGAGTTAGATCCAGTAATTTCTTTTAAGCCCAATGTTAACTTATAAAAATGATTTGGGCATGACAACTGATCAGACCAGGTTGGACATCATGGTCTGATCCAGTCGAGGTGAGACATATGCAGATTGCTATGGTAAAAACACCCTAAATAATTCATGTTTTTACGTTGTTCATTTGTGCTTCCTCCTGCAACTCAGGCTGAGGTGTACAGTTGCAACTCTGCAAACTGTGTGCAGCCTATTGCACACTGCTGGCACAGTGTGGATACAGTACCTTCAATACTATTTAAAATTTCACCTTGGCATGTAACTGATTTGGGGCTTTTCTAAAAAAAAAAAAACAAAAAAACTAACTTGCAAATCTTCAAAATGCATTTTTCTATCAGCTTGCTTAATGGTATGCTAGAGGCTGTTTAAGACTCATCTGTGCTTACTAGTCTTTAAAAACAAATGATTATATTAGATTATAGGCAGATCAAGAACCACCAGGTTGCATTGAATAAAAATCGACTTGTCTATACCCTCAGATTGTTTGTCTGAGTAGTCTTTCCTTAAAAATAAGCAGAAGAAGCGTCTATAACCCGTCGATGGCTGAGCTAGTTACTCTGACAAGAACAACCAAGGGCCACTTTGTGGTGCACAGGCTGCTGCCTGGAGATTAGAGAGCCAGACGAGATTTGCTGGGGATAAATGTACAGCTACACTGAACAATGAATACTACTGGCCAAGATTGTTTAAGGGGATAAGATGTTCACAAAAATCTGGCACTATGTGGGATTAGGTGTGTGTATCAGAGTGTGTTATGCGGGAGCAGTGTTAGTCTGCAACTGTGTGTGCGTGCAAAACACCAAACTGGGTGGTCGCTAAGGGGTGAACATGTGTTGTGTGCGTGTGTGTTTGGGTTATGAGATGACGGACAGTCCTAACAGGAAGTCTTTGACGCTACGCAGCTTCCAATGCAGAGAGAGCTTAAATAACTAAGGAAAGGAGAATGGATTTGCCACATATGCGCACACATACAGATATAAGGGGCAAGACATTGCAGTGAGTATAACTTGGGCCAGTACAATTCAGATGTTTTCTAAGCATCTTGTGTGCACTTACCCACTGAAGAGCTGTGTTTTTTTATTTTTTTCCCATTTTGACTGACAACAAACCAAATAACCCTCAGTACATGCTATGATCTCGTTAGTTTTTCACAATCTCACACAAACACACCAGGTTGATCAAAAATGACAGCAAATGACAAATCTTTGTCATTCTTACCAAAGTCGACAAAGGAGGACTGTCCAACCCTCTTGAATTGTGGATCTGCTGGCATGACCTCAGTTCTGGTAAAGTTCCCATCCTGAGAGGGCAGAAACACAAAGAGAGAAAACAAAGAGGAGCTGGGGATTATGTCGTTTCATAAATGCTCATACATACATAATACTGGACAATGGGATGCCGTATAATGTCACATGTCCAGTAGACCTTAAGTCAGACATAAAGACAGAGAACAGGGGTGAAAAAGGTAATGTACAGTACTGGTTCTGCGCTGGACTGCAGAAAAGTAGTCACTAAGGATGTGCAAACAATTCACTATCACAAGTTGTATCTGACAGAGAAGTGGAAACTCATGTTATTTATTCTGCCAGCAGATAAACTCAGGAAGCAACTGGAACTTCAACTATATGTAATGTTTCATCCTATTAATCTGCTGTTTTGCTCTTCTATGTGGGTGGTGGCAAAATGTGTGTAATGAAGTTCCACTATAAATTGAGAGTTGACATCTGTGGCTTTCTTTTCTTTCACATTCTTATTTTGTCTGCCTTTGTAATTCCTCTGTGAGGAGCAAGGATGTATTTGAGGTTTGATGAGGAGGAGCCACAAACAACACCAAGGACTGTCAGACTTATTCATGGGGAGAGAAATGGTCTGTCAGGGGAGGAGGACTGAGTTAGATACACATCACAGGAAGAGGGAGCACAGTGTAGTCTGAGCACAACTGACATGAAGCCTCTGATGTCAGGTCTACTTGGCACAACCTGCCTCTCTTCCACCTTTCTCTTCCTTCCTTTCTTTCAGCTCTCTCGACCTGTGGGCTCTGCACCTCAGCTGTGTTGCATTCGGTAATTAGCGACTCATTTGTCTGTGCGCACAGTTGAGGTGCATCCCAATGATTACCTTCCTCCTTATTTATACCTCTGGCAGACGCTCCCTCGTCGCCGGAGCATTAACTTTTGGCCTCCCTACACTGGTTACCTGTCCATTTTCGGGTCCATTACAAAATTTTACTCTTTGTTTTTAAATCCCTTCATGGCTCTGCACCATCCTACTTAACTGATTTGCTTCATTGGCATACACCCACACGCTCTCTGAGGTCAGCAAATCAGTTTCTCTTGAGTGTCCCAAGAACGAAGCGTAAGCTTAGAGGCGATCGAGCCTTCGCAGTTGCTGGTCCTAAACTCTGGAATGATTTACCACTGTCCATTAGACAAGCCTCTACCCTGTCTGTTTTTAAGTCTCTTTTAAAAACTCATTTATTTTCCCTGGCATTTTGATATTTTTGTGTTGATTTTAGTCATTTGATTGATTATATTTTATATTGTTGTTTGTGGTTTATAATTTATATTGTTTTATTGCAATGTACAGCACTTTGGTCCACTCTGGTTGTTTTTAGTGCTTTATAAATAAAGTTGGTATGATATGGTATGCACAGGTTTTCTAGTAGATGCTAGAAACCACAGCTATGAGGTTCAAACAGCCCCAACAGGCAGAGCAGCTGCCTGTACGGACAATTTCAACAGCAAAATCATTCAAACAAGATGATAACATTTAATAATCACATTCACCATCTTAAAATATTGCTGTTGCCCCAAAAAGGGGAGAAACATATTTTGATACCGGTTTTACTTTTGATAAGCAGATCAGAGCCGTTGTCAAGACCAGTTTCTTTCACCTTAGACATTTAACGAAGGTTAAGCCCTTCTTACCCTAAGGAGATCTAGAAAAAGCAATCCATGCTTTTATTACTTTGCGATTAGACTATTGCAATGCCCTTTATGCTGGTATATCGCAATCTTCATTGAGGAAACTTCAACTGGTCCAAAATGCGGCGGCCTGGCTATTGTCCAACACTCCCAGGTATGCTCATATTACACCCGTTCTTCGCACGTTACTTTGGTTGCCTGTACATTTTAGAATTGCGTTTAAGATTCTTTTATTTGTTTTTAAAACCTTGCTCCACTTTATCTGTCTGAACTTCTGTCCATCTATGTTCCTCGCAGAGCCCTGCGCTCTTCTAAAAACTTGTCCTTAGAGGTTCCACGGTTCCGATCTAAAAAATGGGGTGACTGCGCATTTGCTGTTTATGGCCCCATACTCTGGAATTCTCTACTGCTTGAGATTAGGTCTATTACTGAGTTAGCGGTTCTTAAATCCACATTAAAAACGCACCTTTTTAAACAGGCTTTTGCTCTTTAATTTGTTTTATTTGTTTAAACGGCATTGTGTACATGTTGTTCTATGTTTTTGACTGTTTAATATTGGTTGATTGTTTGATTATTACTTTAGTCTATAGAGATGTCTTTACTGTGCAGCACTTTGGGCCCGTTCTGAGTTGTAAAGTGCTATAGAAGTGATGCTTTACTATTATTATTATTGTTATTTTCTTAGACAAAATCTGAAAATGTAAAGATGGCAAGGATGTCAATGTTTTGAGAAGTATGTGTTTAGATTTGTTTTTAGTATGGAGAACATATTACTGATAACCCACTTCAAATATACTGAAAGTGTGGTGATGGGGTTTTACATCTTTTCAGTAGTGTTTACTGAAACAAAATGTTACAAATCCTATAATTAATCTGTTAAGTACTTCTTAATCATTTTAAATATATTGCATATTCTCAAAAAGTAGTAAAACATACCTTTTACTCAGTTCACCCAAGAGACATCTACAAAATGCTGCTATGTGTAACCAACAGTAAAAAAAAAAAATCCTCACTTTTAAGGAGCTGGAAGAAGTAAATGTTTGCCTTTTCTAAATAAATGCCCTTTTTTTTGTAATCAACTAACCACTTTAGCATTAAGTGAACTTAGGGCAACAGCAGTTAATCTGAAAATGATTTTCTCAGTTAATCAAAATCTCAGAATCTGCTTAATTGGCCAGGTGTGTCGGACACATGAGGAATTTGACTCTGGTACAATTACAAATTAATCAATTAATTGTGTGGCCTATAAAACATCCCACTGCAATTTTCCAGAAGGATTTGTAGGTTTGACCAACAGTTCAAAAGATTATAAATGTACTATACTGTCAAATGAGGAAAAGAAAGAATGACTCACATTTAAAAAGCTGGGATTATCCAGTGTTTGACATTTCTTTCTCAAAACATTACTAGTGATAAATCAATTTTCAAAAGTGTTGCAGATTACTTTCTGCTGATCAACTAATACACTTATTAATCACCTATTCCTTTCTGTTATAGGTTTCTTCTTTGTCTGTGAATGTTGAATTAGAATACATTCAGGTCATATTACACTCAGTGGCATCATTTGATAGTTGTAGCACACACTGGTTGACTGGTGTACTGATGTATGTAATGTACCAACAGAGGACGTAACCAAGGGATTGCTGCTTTTCTGGAGGGAAACGCAGGTGTACATACTGTACTGTGTGTCGTGATGCTGTCGGTACTGTATGTGGGCTGTGGTGGACATTTCTGTAACAGTGGAGATCAATGTACTGTCATTCTGTAAAGTTTACTGAAGCATTTGCAAATGGAGTCAGATCACTCAGAGATCAGAGGTGCCCACAGCAAAGAACAACAACAAAAAAAAGCTTAATGCCCTAATATACACAGTAAGTGAGCACATAAGAGATAAAAGGGATGGGTCGGCTGGCCTATCCTGTGGCTCCATTCTGTACAGATAAGGAGTGTGTTCCTTCAAGGTTTTCACTGTACTGCAGAGGAGTCATATTGATTGTGTATTGCATCTGTCTGCCTTTCACATACACAACAGTGGGAATAACAGAAAAGGCTACCCGGGCCCTCATTCTACACACAAATGTCTCAGTAAAGTTCCTCCCCCGTACAGCTGGATAAAGATACAGTCAAGTTCCCGTAAGCCACAGTAACAAGTTATATAAGCATATACTGATACGACACATTGATCAGTTTTCTGAATTTCCACTACAGGGTTTACATAGAAAACATGGATGTGTGAATGTTTTGACACATACTGCATAGCAGTTGTGTATGGCGCCCTTTACAGAGGGCAAGGGAAAAAGAAGAGGAGATAAGCAAATTAGTGGGGGCTCCAAACAGATTTTTACAGCATCTGAAGTATCAAGAGTCAAGTACGCATGTAGCAAGAATCTCTGTGAAAACGGGAGAAGCTAGCAGACTGTAAACAAAACAAAGAGCTGGCATTGAGATCCTGTGCATGCACAGTTGGCTCTTGCTAACTTCAGATGCTGTAAAAACAACAAACAATATATACAATGGAGGTCTGTAGAACAGACAAATAGGCTAATACAGGTTTGAGACTGACAGACATTAACCGTGAGTAGAGGCAATTCATAGTTACTATAAATACTATAAATATAGAATATGACTGACCTTAACCTTTAATAGCAGAGGGGCGTTCTTGGAAGTGAACAAGACAAACAAAATCTGCCACTTTCTAATCAGTAAATACATTATTTTTTTGCCGTTCCTAGAGTGGATAATCTTACTGTATTTACTGTATGGTGAGTAACCTGTTTATGTATACTCTGTGTAATAAAAAAAACTGCTTACTGGCTTCACTTGTCTGAAACTGGCTAGCCGGCAGTATGCAATGTTAAATACTACTGAATAACACTACCTACTATATGTAGGAAGGTTGAAAATAATCATGAATGAGACTACACCATCAGCTCTTGACATGCATGATCTTTAGACATAACAGCAGACACACAGAAGCATCATTGTTACTGTCTAGACCCAAAGCGTAGTTAGAGTGAGCAGGTACATGAGTGTTTTTCAAGAGGGTATTTCTGAACTGCCAAAAATTGTTGTTTAGTGCTCCCGAGGTGTCATGGTTTTAATTTTTCCAGACAGCTGTCAAAGAAAGTGCTCACTTGATCATCCCAGTGGCAGTCTCATACTCAGTCTGTATAACTCCAACCTGAGACATTTAGATTCAGAGACTAATAAATTGTGCTGCCAATGTGCTGATCAAGAAGACTTGTGACAGCCTGGCCTGTGAAAATCTCTTTAGTTCAGTTAGTACATCAATATTTTGTCATCTGAATGGGGCCTCTGTACAACTGCTCATCCCTGCCATAAATAGCTGAATATAAAATCCTGAATATTGGTCAAT